TATATATATAAGTATATAATAACCTCAATGTTTAAAAATTTATCATAAATTCAAGATATTACCTGTTCTGTAAGAATCTCGCCAATATAACAAAATATAAAAATATTGAAAGCCATAGATAAATATACAATAATATATGACATTATTTTTGCCGCATCAAAATCACTCCAATTCTAGGAAATCAGAGAAAATACATTTAACATTTTATATATAAACAAACAAAAAAAATTCTGCTATAACATATATTCACCTTTTTAAGTCTTTAGCGTACCGTAATAGAATAATATGCAAGTAAACACATATTCATCGTGCATCCCACCAATTCCACGAGACAGATATGTTGCATAATATTTTCCATGCGCGATATAAAACTGAAACGTATATATGAGACCCAACGCGGTTTTTTTTTAATAAAGGAAATATCTGTACTTTGTTCAACATAAACATATACATTTTTTATATAAAATATAAAAATAAAAGTATCTTATTCGATACGGAAATATTTAGTCAGAGTGTGAATGTTAAATAGAATTTTTATCTATTTTTATCTAATATGACAAACGAGCAATCATAATCGAATCCCGATACTTAAATAAATACCTCAGCACTCTTAAATGATGCTCCACGATCGCAGCCAGTTTTTGTTCAGCATACTCGTTTCCCTTATCCTCGTCCGCAACGAGATTATTTAACCACGAGAATAGCATGTTGAGTTGACCATAAGCATGCATCGCAAAAACTGCAGCGAGACTGCAAGCGCCTACCGTAATCGAATTTACTATAAAACACGATAGTAGCTCCACGACCAGCATGATCTCATTTGCGGGACTGAATCTCGTGTCGATAAATTTACTGTAAATCGGACAAGTCATCGGGTGCATCGATGTCGTTACATTGCCCACGAGGATGGAAATAGATGTCATCGCTTTGGCTACGACAAAGAGGAACGTTCCGCTCTGCATAAACACCGCGCAAAATCCGGCGATAAAACGACCGATCTTGGCGTATCGCAACATCACCACCTGATCATCGATCCTTCGTATTAGTCTCCAATCCATCTCCATGTGTTGCACGCATTCGCGGATGTCGTCGCTGCGCATAAGAAGCAGCCAGTAATTAATCGTGCCCATGATCCAATGACTTAGTGGACCCATAACGCTTAGTTTCATCTGGATATCTTTCTCTTCCAGCGATACATATAACAAACACGGCACCATGACGATTGCTATCAGAGATGAGCAAGCGAGAATATGCGCCTGCAAAGAGACCCTCTCCGTCGTTGATGTGTGTGCTCGTGGCCAGGCGGCGATCGGCATCAGGAACCAACGAGTCAGTTGAAGACTATAATCGTTATTGTTTTTATGTGTAAATTTGATGCTCGTTGGCACACGCTCGGAGTACGTCATGATTGTTTCGCGGAGGCGCACAATGGACTGACTGTGATGGGTGGTGCACTGGAGTTATGTTCGAACGGGCGCCTGCGCGAATCTTTGGTGAACGCACAGGGTTGTGCTTCCCGAGAGAGACGCATGTCTGATCGATAATTATTGCTCGCGGAAATATAACATTGACTGTTTAAGAATGGAGAACACGTGGAAAACATATGTGGTGGATAGGGTAAGTCTTTCTATCAATTTTCTCTCACAGTTGTGTGTAAATACGTAATTTGCAATACAATATACGTAAGACATATTTAAGAAAAATATTTGCTTGTAATACATATTAATATCTTGCAATTGCGAATCTTGTTATATATTAAATTTGCTTGTATATTAAACGTTAATGTTTAACTTTAGAAAAAATGTTTTGGATAACGTAGAAATCTATGTAAATCTATTACACTTTTAAATAACATAGTTATAAATATTGCAACGTAATTTATTCTATTTATTGAATATTCTATTTACTTGTATCTCTCAAATCTATGCTCTATACAAAATATACATATTTGTTGGGTTTTTAAATATAATTAATATTGTTCATGCAGAGGAACTCATCGTTCGTAACATATTCAAATATACCATGGAAGTCTTAACTGTCTGAAATAGTAGTCTCTTGCTTATAGAATACAGGTTAATAATTCCGAAAATTTTTAAATTAATTTATATAAAATAATA